AGTCTGCTTCAGTAAACATTTACAGCGTTGGAAACCCTATGAGGCAGTTTTACTCTGTCCTAAAGGGTCACTATGAGTTGGAATCAACTTAATGGCAGTGGGTTTGGATTTGGGGAGGCCTCTCTTATCCAATGAAGTCACTCTTGTGGCATAGTGGCAAGCATTTGGCTGCTAACCAAAAGGTTGGTGGTTTGAATGGGAGAAAGATAAGGCAGTCTGTTTCTGTAAAGATTCACAATCTTGGAAACCTATGGGGCAGTCTCCTCTGTCCTAAAGGGTCACTATGAATCGGAATCAACTCAAAGGCAATGGGTTTGGTTTTTTGGTCTTATCCAATAACTGAGATGGCAGGAGGATAAATACTCCATCTTCCCCATCCTCGATCCAGACAACTCTGGTGTCCAGAGCTCCCCTGCAGATCTGAGCCAAAGTTACCCCTTAGGACTTGGCCTGATATGGTCCTTTGCTTGGTTTCCTTCTTTTCTCAGTCTGCTTCCCTGCTATTTTTGCCTGGGAACACTTCCTAAAACATTTCACAGGACTGTTCTCTCAGGGTCTGCTTCCAGGAAGTCCACACAAGACAGGGTAACAGTATCTTCCTCTGAGGTGCCTCACCACACACAGAATGGCTTCTCAGGTCTTCCATCACCTGGCCAGACAACACCCTGTGTTACATTCCCTTTTTCAAACAGCTGGAGTGGCCTTGGTTTCTGACTAGACTCTGACTGAGCAAATAGTTAATGTCAGGTAATCTGTACAGAGTTCCTATGGGCTCTAGTAGAAACATGGGCTAAGGTCACATACTCTCAATTTCCATCTTGATTATAAACATAGTGAACAAAGAAAAACGTTCACTTTCATGAGGTGAACATCCATTTTATTTATTCCATAAATATTTTATGAAACCACCTCTACCCCCATGGGGCTCTCAGTCCACAATAGCAGAGAATGGAAGCAAGTACCAGTTGACATCCATTTTAACAGGAATGTTTCCTAAATACCAAAACCAATTCAGCAAGTGACATTACTTCACTAGGCATCAGGGACCACACTGCAAATAGTATCCAATCTTTGAGAAGATCACTTAGCAATATGAATACAAAACAATATAAATGTTCAGATTCTCGCCTATTCCTGTGGATTTATTTGTTGTTGTTGTTAAGTGCCGTCGAGTCATTTCCGACTCATAGCGGCCCCATGCACAGCAGAACAAAACACTGCCCGATCCTGCGCCAGCCCCACAATCCCTGCTATACTTGAGCCCATCATCAAAGCCACCGTGTCAATCCATCTCATTGAAGGCTTCCCCCTCTTTCGTCGACCCTCCACACTACCAAGCATGACATCCTTCTGCAGGGAATCGTCCCTTCTTACAACATGACCAAAATAGGTGAGATGAAGTCTGGCCAATCTTGCTTCCAAGGAGCATTCTGGCTGCACTTCCTCCAGGACAGATCTGTTAGTTCTTTTAGCAGTCCATGGTACTTTCAGCATTCTTCGCCATCACCACAACTC